ATAAAAATTAAAAAAAAATCATATATTTTTAATATTTTAAAATATATTATATATTTAAATAATTTAATTAATATAATAATATATTTTGTTTTAATTTATATTTTCATATTTTAAAAAATATATTTATTATATTAAAAATATATTTTATATATTAAAAATAAAAACTAATTAAAAAATCCTCAACTCCCAACTTCTGAATGCACTCCAAAACAGGACATTTTGGCGAATATTTTAGAAAGAGGAACTTTTTTCCATCATTAAAAGTTGAATAGGGGTAACGGTAAAAATTTTTTGGAGTTGGGCATTGGAAGCATCATTTTAAATATTTAAATGAAGAAGTATGAAATGATTATTTAAATTTTATTTGAAAAAATAAAGAAGGAGGTAAGTTAGTGAGATTCCGTGTGTGGAACTGGAAAGTGGAAAGAAACAAATGGCTTCACGTGTTCCTCGAATGCAGAGACAAGAGTGCAAGTCAGAATCAGAAAAACCAAATCCGGAAGAAATCTGAGAGAGTGGTGAGAAGTGAGAAGTGAGAAGTGAGAAGACAAGCATGGGTTCACGCTCCACCACGCTTCTCTTTTGTCTCCTCTTACTCCTAACCCACTCACTCGCACTCGCACTCGCACTCGCAGAGACTCTGCACCGCAGAGTAATACCCGGCTTCCTCTACAGGCGCAGCAGAGGCAGATGCACGGCGCAGTTCTGGAGCGAGAGGAGGGAGGCCTGGCCTCGGATGGTGCCGGAGACATCGACGGTGTCGAAGGTGTTCGGGTCGAGGGTGTACGAACGCTACAGGTGGGATCTGACGTTGGTGGAAGCGACGGCGAGGAACGAGGAGGAGAGTAACCCCTTCGGAGGGTTGGTGAAGGAGGGAAGCGCTGCGCTTCTGAACTCGTACGCGAGAGATGGTTTCCCTTACAAGCCTTGGCAGGTCAAGACTTTGGTCATTCGCGCCTTGGTTTCTCGCACTCAAGCTGCTTCTCAAGCCAATCAATTCTTGTTGGCTAACCAGGCTTGCTCCTAATTAACCTCTTTATGGCTTTACCCTTTTCTTCGATTCACTACTTTGTGACCTGATTAAGGCATATCATTCCAATGCCAATATTTGATTGCTACTCATTTCTTGTCTTATTACCCAAATTTCTCTTTCATAGGACTCAAGACTCGAATATAAGTGTTGAATTGTGTTCGAATCGTACTATGGAAAGTTTTAAATATATCAAAAACCTCACTTTTATGTTTAAGAAAATATAGCCAAGTAACACACGTGGAATCATCGATAAAGGTCACAAACCACCGATGACCAACTAAAGATGGCAAGGATGATGGCCCCCAGACATCAGTGTGTATCAAACCAAAAGGAGTATTAATTTTATTCAAGTGTGTGGGAAAGGGTACACGATGACTCTTTACAACTATACAAGTGTCACATGTTAATTTACTCAAATCTACACCAGTAAAGAGTTTTGGAAGTACATGTTTCATGTAATAAAAAGATGGATGACCCATACGTGCATGCCAAACCCGAATCTCTCCTTCTTTGTTGTTGCTAGCCTTTCCCACGTTATTTACTCTACTAGAATTCAGATCTTCCATGTAGTAGAGTCCTCCCCTCTTAGTACCACGCCCAATGATCTCCTTCGTGAGGATATCCTGAAAAAAGAAAAAATTAGGATACATAAATGCCACGCAGTTTAATTGTTCAGTAGCTTGCCCAATGGAAATAAGTTTATTTGATAAAAAGGGAACAAGTAAAGTATTAGGCAAAGAGATATGGTTTGAAAAATTCATTGTCCTTGCTCCTTTCACTGGGTATGATTCTCCATTGGCATTTATGATACAAGATTGTCTAGGTAGTGATTTCTCTACTAAATCACTTGCACAATATGTCATATGATCGGTGGCACCCGAGTCTATGATCCACCCTTCATTATTACCATTATTCGAAGACAAGTATGTAAAGTATATGTTACCTTCATCATAGGTGTTAATTGAGGAAGATTCAACATGAGTAACAAGAGATAATTGAGGCTCAGTATGTACTAAAGAGACCTTCGCTATCCCTCCTTCCTTTTGTTTCTTAGATTGGAGTTCATGCCACCAGTCCGGGTAGCCATGTATCTTGAAGCATGTCTCCTTGGTGTGCTTTTTGTTTCCACAATGGGTACAACCGCCTTTAGTATTTGATTGCTTCTTGATAAACTTACCACTATTCCTTAAGCTTCCCTTTGTAGCCATTGCTGCAGATGATCCAGCATCAGTGCCTAACAGCATCACACTCTGTCGTGTGTCCTCCCTTCTAACGTAACTATATTCTTGTTCGAGAGATGGGAATGGCTTCATCTGCAACACATCACCCCTTACACGATCCAAACGGTCATCCAGACCATCAAGAAATGTATAAACACGATCTTCTTGTAATAAATCTTTAAATTTCTGAATATCATGAGCACATACCATTAGATTTGGTCTCCGAAAATCAATTTCTCTCCATAATCCTTGAAGAGAATTATAATAAGCCTCCAACGTTCCACCAGCTTGTTTCACGCTATTGACTTTCCTTTTGAGATCATAAATTTGAGAGGAGTCACTACTATCAAAATAGGTGGTAGCAATAGCATCCCACACTTGCCGTCACTAGTAGAAAATCAGCATATTACGTCACCCCTTTTACGTCAAAAATACGAAAATCTGACGTAAAAAAAACGCAGTGACATTTTTGTAATTTTTGCGAACTTTTTTACGTCGGACCTGGTAGGGTCTGACGTAAAAAAGTCCAATCTACGTCGGAGGTGTGTTGTGTCCGACGTAGATTGGACTTTTTACGTCGGACCCT